GGAGAAAAATTGATTTAAAAGTGAGAAAATGTGCCGCCTTGTGACGTCATCTGGCGGCATTTCCCATTTAAACACATGTATTTTAGCGGAATCGGTTATTTTGTCGTATCCCCTCTAATAATTGCTCAATTTATGAATCAAGGGTATCTTCGTGTTCAGTTCACTCAGAGGATTCCACTTAAACAGGAAATTCATCAAATTTCAGACCCTTGCAAATTCTCCATTGCAAAACATATCTGCTTATGCACTATGAGACATTCGAATATTTGTCGTATTCAAAAAGTTAAATCAGTCATTTTGCCAATATCTGAGCGAAAAGAATTGCCTAACGAAAGTAATACTGCATGATTATAGCGTCTAGCGTGGGGCGAGACTGTGAAAGCACGCTGTGTTCTCGCCTTACAAAAATATGGAGTTGATTCCCTAGGTTTTCAAACCTTTCATTTCAGTACAAAAGGTTGAGTCATAAGCGGCCTCTTTACAGTCCCACACAGTTGTAATTAGCGTAGTGATAATTTCTTTGTGCCGTTATTTATCTCATTGTTTAGTCCTGACTATCCAATTAACTCGCGGGTAGTTCCTCTCGCATTTCCTCTCAAAATTTGAAGTAACTCTCTGGCTTTCTGCATGACGTCGCAATCATTTCGTAGTCTCCCACACGAAGGATACTGAAAAAAAAAAGGAATCTAAAATTTTCGGCCAAGATGTATTCTTCCTTAAATCAAGAATTTTTGTGCTTAGTATTAAACTACTTTTTTGCTTAACTTACGAATTTTTTTTTCTGCATCAAGAAAAATTCAGCTGAAACCAAGATAAACTAAATTCTTGGCAGCAAATTCAAGAATCGTCATGCTTGAGCCGAGCACATTTGTTTTTCAGTGTCCATTCCAAGGTCGCCAAACTGACTCAAACCATATTACACTATTTATAAAGTTGTACCTAAAAAATCTATGAGCAATGACTTTCAAGAGGGTAATCCAAAAATTCTTAAAAGAAACCAGTTCAAAAATCGGTAACATACGCGATCTAAAAGCTTGGGAGCTGTATACGGTGTTTTCTTAATATATTCACGACTGAGCTTTAAAAGCACGGATGCATCTCGTGCAAAACGGCAGTGGGATGAAGAGATCAGTTCATGATTTTATTTGTTTCGTTTGTTCCTAGTTGAAGCTGAGCAGCCAGCTCCTGGCTGGATATTAGAGTGAATGAACCTTTTGACCCGTTCGCTCGGTGAACTGCTCACGATTTGGAGCAAAAAATGGGATTGCTTCTCATTTGACTTTACTCGTTGCCACTTCGTTGGTCAAATCATTGATTTTATAAAACTTCTATCTATCAGCCCTGGAGGATACAATATCTAAAACTCCAAATTATATAGCAAAGCAGTCAACTGTGAAAGTGCATGTTTTTTTGTTTTTTGTTTTATCGGAATAGATGAACATATCGTTCTTAGAACATCGGATGAACAATTTCAGAAACACGACTCCAATGTGAATAACTGTAAAAGATGGTCTATAAAAGAAGTTTTGGAGAGATTTTTTTGAATTTTTAAAAATTTAAATATCCCTAGTTTTTAAATCTCAACCAAAATTAATTATATTGTTTTCAACATTTGACGATTTTTTGCTTATCCGATGTACTTTTTTTTCGAAAAAAGATAAAATAAAATTGTGTGAATATTTTTGACAAAGTAAGGAAAATTTACATAAAATGTTGAGAAAAGTGTTGGAAATTTTTTTAAGAATAATATAAGATTATACAGGTACGCTACATAATCGGAAAAACGCATTTCCGACTGTAAGCAGCGATTAGTTCCCCAGAAAATTCAGTGCCGAATTCCTGGCATGTCATAACCTTCCTGGAACAGTATACTGCGGTTACTGGGTCACCTGAGGATCACATGAACTACATGTCGCTTTAAGGGACCAGTATTTCTGGCTCATTTTGGGAACATCATAGCATTTTGCATTGGTTCCTCTTCGTAGGCCAATGGTTTCAGATAAGTCAATAATTAATTGTGGTATTTATATACAAAATGTAGCTCATGTTTAGTCAGCTCCGTAATCACATCTCAGCTAAAATATACTCAGCTACTAAATCAGCTCAGTAATCACTATTATCCTTATTTATGAATGATTAATTATCCAAATGCTGCACATTAATATGCAGCTAAGATTTCACTTTTTCGTTTAAATTGCAAGAGAGTTTGAAAGTTATAGTAAAAAATCTGACATTACGGCCTAATTACGGTAAACAACATGATTGTAGAATGGTGCTAGGCCCGAAAAGGTGAATAATTACTACAATTGAAGTTCTAAAGAACTACCCCGATACGTTTCAGCGCAAAAATGAGACGATGCTATGAAAATGATATTTCTGATGTTGTACCAGTTTGTATCAATCATTAAAAGGATATCCCATTAATTTATGAAGAAATGAGTCAAAAAGGTTCATTATGTCACACACGTTAATAATTTATTTCATTCTAAACTTAAAGTTTGATGGCTTCAATGTTTGCTCAGACTCCAAAAGTTCACAGGCGGATTCACACACTTCGAACGAGAGAGTTCTAGAGAAGGGGGGGGGGGGGGGGGGGGGGGGGCAATCTCCAGAACATTTTCGAAGTTTAAAAGCATCTAATATGCAGTTTGAGTCAATTTTGTCATGAATAATTATCAACTATAAGCTCCCACTTCTTTTTTCCTTACTTTCTTCCTTCTTTCTTTCTCAAAATGTCCCTCCTCTCACCCTCCGCCACACACTGGAGATCCAGCTATGGACTTTTCCCCCGATCAAGTATCCATTCCATTTCTATTGTCCTCTTTTTATTTTTTCTCCCGATCCTCTAAATTTTATATTCTTATTTTATACTGCCACCTTTCAAAATTTTCCAGTTTTTTCTCTTTCCTGTAAATTTTCGGGTTAAATTTGTTCGGGCCTCCAATGTTAAAGGCACCTTGTCAAAAACAAACAAATTCTACTTCTTGTTCCCTCTTTCTTCTTTCCCTCTTTCATCATCCTTTTTTAGATAGGGGAGGGGCGTATACCCCCTGCGCCATCCTCCATGCATCAATCTATGCAAAATTTTGGGTTACCAAAACTCCACCATGTCTAATTAAAGGTTTGAAGGACAAGGGGCATACGTGCGGTTTCCGAAAAAATTGAAAAATAAATGAATTCAAGTAAAACTAGTCTTCCTGCATGTTCTTTGAAAAATTTGCTCCTTAAGTCCACTTTTTAAGCATCATTAAGTCACTTTGAACTTTCCTACCGCCATAAGGATCCATGTAACTTCAAAACTGAAAACACGAATTTCTCAAAATAGCAAAACTGCATTTATACGCCTTGTCCTCCGAGCCCTTCAATTTTCACTAATCAGATGAAGTGTTCAACAGACTTAAATCATTGCGTTAATCTCACCGTGGCGTAACTTAATGTGATTCAATGGTTGCCATTTTTTCAGTCAGAGCGACATGCGATATATCGCATCAATTTGTTCCATAACTTCAGTTACTTGTCATTTTTTTCGAATTTACGATGAATTTCTTTGTCAAATTTAGTACATGAATTATTTAGTCTCACGACAACAAAAGTGCGATCTCAAAATTCGAACGAAATAACAAGTAGCTGAAATTATGGAACGAATTGATGGCTCTGATACGAAAAATGGCAACCGTCGAATCACCTTAATATGTATCAGTAAAACGACTTGCACGTTGCTGCATTATTTAGGCGCAACAGCGGATACGAAAGTTTTTAATTTCTCTCGAAGAGATTTTAAAATCAGGAGAGAAAAGCTGCAATTTGGCAATCATTGCATCGGTGCTTCTCAGACGTCGCGTGTGGGTGCACCATCATGCACCGCCCAACTAATTTGCTAATTTCTGGTTTACTGATACTTTTTCTTTACGTGCAGCTTCTTATTGAGTCTTTAGGTCCGGCAGGTTCCCTACCTGACTCAATTAATTTTTGGGAACATTTTCCGTGCAAGAAAATAACTTAGCCTGCAGCAAGCGTAAGTTTCTTTTAAAATACAATTTGAAATTAGGTGGAACTGCACAAAAAAATGGATTTATGTGCATGTACTGGAAAAGAAAACATCTTTCAAGGTAGTCAAATTTTCAGTTAGGTTATTTATTTTTCAATTACGTTGAAACAAAAGACTTTTGGATTTTTGCGAAAGTCTCTCCAATGCCTAATACTAAGTTGGGAACAGCTCACCTAATTTTTGTATCACAACAGAGCATATAAAGTTAAAATAATTCAGAGAACTTTTGAGTAAATTTTTAGTAAACGTACAATTATCTCCTTAAATAATTTAAACGATTTTACGGATGGTTTGGTGTAACATTTGGAAGACTGAGGGGAAATAGAGTGATCCAATTGGAGGAACAAATGGTTTGGGCGCTTTTTGTATCTGGCTCAAACTTTTGTAGAGCGTCTATCTATGTACTGATATCAATAACTAATAGCAGAGGTTGGTGGAATAAGGTAAATTTTTCGATGGACCGTACATATCAATAGAATTTCCATAGCTGATGTAGATTAAGTCATGTTAATATTGACTATCAGGCTCTGTGAGGCAGTTGCGAGTAGTTTCAATAATTTTTACCTCATATTTGAATAGAAATGTCAGTATCAACGATGCATAATTCATTTTTTGATAAGTATCCCGAGTAAAACTGCACATTCTCCAGTGTAGGAACAAAAGTGTATATACGGTAAGTTTATGATGAAAATATAGAGATCAATACAAACCGTTTCATTCATGGTAGCAATGAATGTGTATGATATAATGAAATATGTACAACTAAGGCTCACGTCATACTAGTGATAACCATTAATCGTATGAAGAGAAATAAACAAAAGTTATGATCAATTCACTTTCATGCGAATGTTGAAGAATGGGTGAGACTTTAGTTTAAGCATATTCATTGATGAAAATTGAATTTCTTGTTTCAATCATAGAACATACACGAGGGTGAAAAATCAAAGAACAATTTTTTGCGCTTGCAAACGACGGACAAATTTGTTTATTATACTATCTATTTCCTATTTAAGTACAATTGACATTGATGAAAATTCAAGTGTATTCAGTAATTTTAACACATTTAATTAAACAACATTTATTTTCTGTTACTATTTACAGTTTTTTCTAGTAATTTCGTCACTTGACATTATCTTTCAATGAATCTTCGATAAAACGGTCAACGAAGTATAAAATGCGGAGAAACGATAGTAGATTCAAAAATATTAATTATTTGAGTCTCAGCGACTACTCACTGTTTAAATAAAATATGTTTTTCAATTAGTGCGGCTGTTGCTTACTCAAAGGAAGTACACACAGCCGTGCTTTCAAGTAATAGAGGCAGATTGTTTATTTTAAAATGGTAACTGTTTGGTAACTAATAATTAATTTTGTTTTCCTAGACTATATACAGTAAAACATCACATCAAAAACGAGTCTAAAGAAATTTGAAACTTTTTGACTCATACACCTAAAGATTTTGAGGTCAGTTGGTTGTAAATAAAAAAACATCACATATAAATTTGATGTTTAAGATGGTAAAAATGTAGTGCCATAATAATCAGAATAATTCCTTTGAATTCAACATCGAACAAGGTTACTAACTCATTTTGAGTGATTCATTCATAATTTTTCGTCTCGATTTTTTTTTAGAAACAACCAACTTAAATGGCACAGGGTTGTACTACCATGCTACGAAAGAGAGCGTGGATATGATTGAGATAGCAGTATGTGTAAAAGTTTTTAGTTATTAAAAAGAAGATGAGTGTATACAAAAAAACTGAATGTAAGTAGTAGTAGTAAAATAATTTTATTTTAAAGCGGTGCTTCCTACCCAAAAGGAATGGGAAAATATTACGATTCACCCATGAAAATATATGTAAAACTTTCTCTTGTACTTTTCCATCGGGTGAAAAGCCCAACTTTCTGCACACACTGCTCTTTTTCGTAGTACGGTAGTAAAGGATAACAGTGCCCCTCAAATTCAAGCTCACCCTGGTGAACTTATGGTAACCATCTAGCGTTTAATGGTTTCGGTGCCAAAACCATACCGATGAATAAATAAATATATAAAAAACGAAAATAACTGGCAGTTACAGCTTGGATCCTTGAAAACATGATGAGCTGTGAGCAAACTTTCGTGGCTCTCAGCCCAGTACATTTCCACAAGCTTATTCGAGCCGAACGGAGCGATCACAATTTACAACAAGCGAAATAATTGAAACTAGTACTGGTAACCTTCACTGGTCAGAGTGCCAGAGGTAGGCCCTCCCGCGGAATACCCTCCCTGAGATCCGCCAGGTCTGGAACCCGGCCTGGAGCTGGAGTACCCTCCACTCGAGGTGAACGCGTCCTGACCGTTGGGCGAGAAGTTGTTCCGGCCTGGGGCGGGGTAGCCACCCTGACCTCCACTGGAACCGCCGTAGCCACCCTGACTTCCACTGGAACCGCCGTAGCCACCCTGACTTCCGCTGGAGCCGCCGTAGCCTCCCGCGCCTCCACTGGAACCACCGTAACCACCCTGGCTTCCGCTTGCACCACCGTAGCCCCCGCCTGAGCTGTATCCAGATCTGTGAAAAAATACACGAGTCGTGTGAATACATTTTGTGATAATGAGGGAAGTAGAACACAAAAAACCTCTAATGAAATTTTTTGGTTCGTTTTTATTCGGGTTAAATTCACTAAATTTTTACGATTACGATTAATTGACTGCATTTTGCAATTTGGAACTATAAGTTCTGGCTCTTCTGAAAAAACACTTATGTGCATAGGGAAACTAATGGCACATACGTTGTTTTTAAACCGGGCTAGAATTTATAGTTCCAAATTGCAAAATGCAGTCTATTTAATTTATTAAGGGTTGAGGCGACAGGATCAAAAAATGAAAATGTATCTTTTCAAACACTTATACCTCCCGTAGAAAATAGAATGTATAAAGGAGAAGTAGATTTGATAATATCGATAGGCAAAAAAAATTGACTTAATAATATTAAAATATTACGGAAATTGGTCTATGAGTCTTCAGCAGTAGCACTAAAGAAATCTAAGAACAGTAACGAAGTTTAACTTACCCTCCTTGTCCTGCTTGACTTCCGGGGTAGCCGCCTTGACTGCCAGAGGAGTATCCTCCTTGACCGCCGGACGGAGATCCGCCTGATCCACCTGAGGGGTAACCTCCTTGACTACCTCCGAATCCACCCTGACCGCCTCCGTAGCCTCCTTGGCCTCCTTGGCTACCTCCATAGCCGCCCTGACTTCCTTGGCTACCTCCGTAACCGCCTTGTCCTCCTTGGCTACCTCCATAGCCACCCTGGCCACCTTGGCTACCTCCGTAACCTCCTTGGCTTCCTTGGCTACCACCATAGCCGCCTTGGCCTCCTTGGCTACCTCCATAACCACCCTGACCGCCTTGGCTACCTCCGTAACCGCCCTGACCTCCTTGTCCGCCAGCACCGCCACCCTGTCCGCCGAAACCGCCAGCACCACCGGCAGCTCCCGTGTCCTCGTAACGGACTTTGGGTCGGTATCCGTCCTTGTCCGCTTCGTAGTCAACGATCTGCTTCCTTCCGTCGGGTAGGAGTACGTTGTAGGAACCTTGAGTGAAGTCTCCATCGCGAGATTCTGAATGGCCGAACTCTTGACCGCTGGCCGGGTCATTCACCTCGTAACTGAACTCGTACTTGGCCGGCTCCGTCTGGAAGTAAAAACGAGACTACGCTTGGTATTTCAGACTATGAACTCACAAATGGACTGCATTTTACAATTAGGAACTGCAACTTCTGCCTCATCCGTAAAACCACTTATGTGCATGGGAAAAGTAATGGTACATACGTTGTCTCAAAACTGATCCAGAAATTAAAGTTCCGAATCGCATGACGAGGTTCAGTTAGTCCAATGAGCGTCTCACAGAATTAAAGAGTGTTACAGATGGTGGATTCAAGTGACTTGTCTCGCAATTTTAAGGAAAACGCGTCTAAAATCGGAAATTTTTAAAAAAAAGTTGTAATAAAAAGAAACTCTGTTTACGAATATCAAGGCAAAAAATGACCTGCATTCCTCAACGTCTTTCATTAAGAGAGCATACTCCAAAGCTAGATTTACACACAATGACTAGCCATTATAAATATTACGAAGGTAAAATGGATAGTAGCATAAAATCAACTCTTTTATCCGTATATGCTTTAATTCTGTGGAGTTCCTGATCTGTTGAGTTGAGTCCAATTCGTGCCTTCTGAAAATAGATCTGCTGTTCTGAGATTTTAAAGGGAATTCATGAAAAGAAAATAAAGAAATTTTTAAACTATCAATCTTAATGACATTTTTTACGCACTTTTTCTCCACTCTATAAAATTGATTTAATACAATATCTTAAAGTGAGGATGCTATCATAAGACGCTGATTGGACTCAAACTTCGGACACGCCTGCAATTAATTCTATGCTGGATGAAATGAAAACATTTGTCTGACATAATTATCAATGGTGAACATAAAAAATGCTGCCTTGGTTGTGGGCTCTAGAATTTCCGCTAGTGTCTTACTAATTTTCTTCTTCAAAAGAAAATTGGACGTAATTCTGCCAAACGGAACTATGTGCACAATGACGTGAGCCTTGTTATGGGTCAGCCTCAGTGGTGTAGTGGTCAAGGCAGTTCGCTGCCAACACTGAGGTCCCGGGTTCAATCCCCGGAGGTGACTGATATTTGAGGACACTCAAATATCAGTCATCGTGACTGTGGATGACTATGCCACTCCAATACCCTGACCCTTCGAGGTTACAGGGTGCGGGAGGGACATAGTCACCCAGTAAGTAATCCGTCTGCACTGTTCGACTGGGTTGTGAAAAATCGGTAATCACTCGTAGTGTGCGCGACTGCCAGCGCTACCTATCAGTGTAGATTGCATCAACACAGTCCAACTCGGTGGAGGCATGGCCGTGCTCCTGAAGTCCGTGCTCTGCAGCGTCTGCCACAGTCTTTGATAAGACATTCCGTTGGCTATCAGACGGCCGCTGAGCCTTGCGGAAATATAGATGATACTCAATGTGTCAATAGTACGAAGATATGTTAAGGAGTACGGTCCAACTTCGGGGTGCACGACGGCAGTTGCCAGTTGCCTTGGCCCCTTGAGGGCGCCTCGCCGGCCAGCCCGGCCTTACTTACTTACTTACTTACTTACGTGAGCCTTGTTATGCATATATTCTAATGGGTCTCAGAGCTCATGTATTAATGAACATAGTTCCATTTGATAGAAATACGTCCAATTAGAAAGTCGTTTTCATGTACGATTTATATATTTCTTTATCAAAATATTCATCTCCAGGAAGATTACTTGGCCCCAAAATTCCGCAAAGACTGCTTTAATTTCATCCACAGGATAATTTATGGGATAATTTCTACTATTTTTAAAGCTTACCGATTGCTCTTCATCACCACCATAGCCTCCTGCGCCACCAGCTCCACCAGCACCGCCATAACTGCCTCCAGCACCTGCTCCACCAGCTCCGCCGTAGCCACCTCCAGCTCCGGCACCGTTTCCACCATAGCCGCCTCCAGCTCCACCACTGCTGCCTCCATAACCACCCTGAGATCCAGCGCCACCTCCATACGATCCACCAGCCGCACCACCATTTCCACCATATCCACCTGCTGCTCCGGCACCGCCTCCACTATAGCTGCTTCCAGCTCCACCGCTACTTCCTCCATAGCTACCACCGGCTCCGGTTCCGATAGGACTGACTCCTCCGTAACTGCCAGCACCAGTGCTGCTGCCTCCATAGCCTCCTGCACCTCCTGGTCTACTTCCACCGTAACCACCACTGCCAGAAGCTCCACTGCTAGGAGCTCCATAGGACGAAGACGGTCGCCCAACTCCACCACTCGGGGCTCCGTAAGAAGAGGAGGGTGATTGCCCGCCACTACCGGGAGGCCTCCGAGAGCCACCGTAACTTCCACCTCCTTGTCCGTTTCTGCTCGGGGGACCGTAAGATGACGATGGTCGAGGTCTGCCATTACCAGAGGGTGGGCCGTAAGAGGACGATGGGCGACCTCCATTGGACTGACCGTTACTGGCGTAGCTAGGCGCTCCATAGGAAGAAGAAGGAGATCCGAAACTTGAGGAAGCAGTAGGGCTGCCGTAAGAAGAGGATGGTCCGCCGAAGGACGATGAGGGTGCACCGTAAGAGCCAGACGGGGAACCGAAGTTCGACGGAGAGGTAGGTGCGCCGTAGGAAGGAGACGGGGAGCCGAAACCTGAGGATGGAGATCCGAAAGTTGCGGTGGTCGGTGTGCCATAGGAGGAGGAAGGTCCACCGGCACCCGGGGCACCATAGGTTGAGGATGGTCCACCAGCACTTGGGGCACCGTAGCCAGAGGACGGGGTTGAACCTGCACCGAAACCGCTCGTCGGTGTTCCGTAAGAGGGAGACGGTCTGCCTACACCATTGGAACCGCCTTGGCTTGGGGGTCCGTAACTGCTGGATGGTCGACTTGATCCGAAGCCACTGGGGGCTCCGTAACTAGAGGAAGGAGATCCGAATGAGGTAGAGGGCGACGAACCAGAGGGTGCACCATAGCTTGGAGATGGACTGGAACCACCTGCAGCTCCTGCTGAGCTGTAGCCATTGGTTCCACTTGAGCCGGATCCGAATCCAGGAGCACCGTAGCTCGACGACGGCGACCCAGCTCCGGGTGCCCCGTAACTGCCGGAGGGGGATCCCGCACCAGGAGCACCGTAACTTGCGGAGGGCGTCGGGGCTCCGTAACTGGATGACGGGGTTGATCCGAAACCGGCTGAGGGCGCTCCGTAAGTGCTCGACGGGCTTCCGAAGCCGGTGGATGGGGCGCCGTAGCTGCCGCTACCTCCGCCGTTGGACCCTAGTCCTGGGGCGCCGTACGACGAGGAGGGTTTCTGGCCGTTGCTGCCTCCACCGAAACCGCTGGGAGATCCATAAGAAGATCCGGACCCGGTACTGCCGTACCCGTTTTGAGCGGAGGGTGGGAGGTATTGGTTGTTTACGGGCGGCTCGGCCCTCGAGATGGCTATGGTCGCTAGGACCAAAACCAATTTTATCTGAAACAAGCGAGAAAGTAGGAATTTTAGTTTACAAGTAAATCAAGTAAATGGTCAAGTATTTCCTTTTTTCATCAGTGTAAAAAAAAATTGAATGAGAAATCGTTCAAAGTATATTCCAAAGTATGATTTGGACTGCATTTTGCAATTTGAAACTATAAATTCTGGCTCTTCTAGAAAAACACTTATGTGCATAGGGAAACTAATGGAACATACGATGTTTTTAAACCGGGCTAGAGTTTATAGTGCCAAATTGGAAAATGTAGTCCATTTTATCTTTTGAAATATTTGAGCTGTACCTGATGATAACATAAGGAAACAAGATAAGAATGAAAGGCTTATCAATAAAATCGAAGGCATTGAGCAACATATACCATGCCTCCACCGGGAATATTTTTAATCCTTGAATATGTCTATGCTTTTTTTAAATTTTTTTTCGCTTTTCTTTGATACGGGACTTTTTGGCTCTGGAGTGGTCTTTTGGTGGGGTGTAAAATAATAAGGATAAAATGTTTAACATTATTCTTGGATGCCGTAACCGCCTTTCAACCCACCAAACGCGGTCAAAAACCTCCCTAAATGTTTTGTCGTACAGCTTAACACGGCTTCAACGTGGTATATGCGTAATTAATTTTATTAAAGTAGATTAAATAAATTATCTCATTCATTCAAGTTTTCCACAGATCAGAATAAACCAAAAATGGAATGGAGATATGCCTATCTTAATTAGTAGTCCCAGGATTAGTAGGCCCACAACCAAAAAATAGTTTGGCAGACTCGACGCAGTTATATTTTTCGACGGCTCGATGATTTTAGCACAATTTTTTAGATTCAATTGTAAAATGTCAAATTCTCATGACTGCTTAGCAGTTAGATTTCAATTATTGATAAGAAACAATTAAGGCGTGATTTTGCAGAAAAATATTGACGGTATTGAGGTAACGTTTCATTCAGAGAGCTGATTTCATAGGGAATGATATGCATAAAATATTGACTGCGCGCAAGTGACATTTAATCATGCAGATGTTTTTCCGTTAAAGTCAAGGTCAAATATTTTAGTGAATCGATTCCGTAGTTATTAGTAATTTAACGTGATTGAATTTTGATCCCGGAATGTCATACGAGCAAAGTTGCCACTACGCTGCACCGATTAGAGCGGACAGCGGACGATCTCATTACCAAGAAGTAGGAAGTACGAGTAGGTGAGCAGTTATGCATCAATCGGTTTGCGAGTAAAATTACAACTTACAGGAACCTGTGGCTAAGGCAAAACTTATGAAGTTTTTGAGGCAATATGCATGATTGTTTTTCTCTATTAATTTATTCAAATGTGATTACTTTTTGCTACGAGTGGTTAATAAATATCATTGCGTTACAGAGCGGGAAGGTTGTTAGACCAAGTCAAAGTTGTTCAAAAAAAGCTCAAAATTAGATGGAAAAGATGAGACCAACAAATTGGAAGAAAAGAGTTTTTGAAAAATTATTAGGAGGTCGACGGCTTATTTAAATTGAGGCTCTTTCATCAGGCGGTTTTACGATTTCAGGTCGTTTACTTGTATACATTTAAAATTATGAAATAAAACATGATGAAAAAGTTGGCCTGACACCAAAATATTAAACGTAATTATCGTTGGATATTGTGTAAAACTAAAAAATTAAAATTTATTCAGCAACTGATTAAATGATGAAGTTTTTGAGCACTCGGAATATTTTTAACACAAATAATTTTACAAACTAGAAATGTTTTTCCTGCAATTCTGCATCTAAATACCCTTTTTTAATTCAAGAGAGAGACAAAAATACTGGAAATTTCTAAATAATGCAGTTTAGTGAAGAACACATCATTAATAGTGCTGTATTATGAATGGCAAAAAGTCATCTGAATCTGTTGAAGTCGTACGTTGTATAATATTTCTACTTGCTTAACCGTGCGTTGAAGTCTTTACTCATTCACTGGCACGATAATGAGACTTAAGCTTTTTTAACAGGAATTATGGATGGCAAAAAGTCATCTGAATCTGTTGAAGTCGTTGTATAATATTTCTGCTTTCTTAACCGTGCGTTAAAGTCTTTTTCTCATTCACTGACACGATAATGAGACTTAAGCCTCTTTAACAGAAATGTAAGTTTCGAGAAGTTTTTACAAGAATTATGTATTCAATTTTAGAGAAAAGTAGAGGGGTAAGTGATCGAATAAGGTGACCTTCCAATTTTTGTAGTTCAATTTGTTCAAACTGTATTAAAAATTTTATACGGTGAAAAATTGCCTTGATTTTTTTAACAGAATTTATATTTTGAGAGTTGCAACAAAATTAAATGGTCATTTAGAAATCAAGTGTCACTACGATTGAAAATAACGGAAATGTGGTCGGAAAAGTGTACTGATATTGATCTATTTTCGTCGTAATTCTTTAATGTGGCGCATTTTATTAGGAAAGGCTACCTGATATATGGCAAAGGGTCATATTTAAAGCACCCTCAAGATATTTTATACTCAAAATTTCACCAAAATTTGTTAAGCATGTTAAGTAAGTCTAATAGACCTAATCGTGTATGGTGAAATATGTCAGTTTACTTTAGAATTAGTGGATTCGAACTCCACGTTTGCAAAAAGAAAAAAGAAAAGACATTAACTTATAATCGATCTTCCTCCTAGGAAAAAAGAAGAAACGATCTGATACATTTAGTAATAAAATCAGAGTTAGACTCGTTAAATTTTTCTTCTTTGGATGCATTGTACTTTAAATAATTTAGGTCACTAAAAAGATTTATTTCATAGTTAAAAAGCAAACATGGGATTCATTTTTTGGCCAATCTGATTCAAGATGGCTTTGGTTCCTTGGAGAGTAGGAAAGGTCAATTGCCGTGTACAAAGAAAACCTATGAATTAATTTCAATATGTTTAATGTATGTTTTCCTATAGTTTACTTGGAAATTTGCTAGAAAAAGTGCACCGTGGTGCTAACTATCTCATCATGTTGATTTATTTATTTGATATAAGACATTTTTCGGGAGTAAAACTAAATAGTAAGTGCATATAATTGATCAAAAAGGGGCTCATACAACCATGCTTACTTCAATTTGATTAGAAAGGGAGGAAAAAACGGGAAGTAGAAGAAAAACAAATCACCGTGGTAAACATCATTCCGAGAGAAATATGCGAGTTTAAAGTTGGGCTGATGAAATTTTTGAAAAGATCTTCCTATCTTATAAGTTCAAAAGAGGTACTGCTAAGAAAACATCATTTCGGAGGCAAAAGGTTGTGCTCATATACATGCGCACAAATTTAGTTAAAAAAACAATGCTTGCTCTCACGAGATAATTTATTAACGTAACTTTTCACTTGCATCTAGTTCAAAACATATCCAAAAATTTCGCCAATGGCCTTTCAAAACTTCAGCAAGTAAATTGAACTGATACAAATTCTGAAAAAAATCGTCCAATTTTACTCCAATGCGCTCAAAATTATACCAAAACAAAAAAATAACATTATTATGGTTTCGGAAGAAATGGAAGGTACAAAAACTCCACGTGAAAGCTTAGTGTCGGAAATTTCCACAAGTTTCACCATGAACATCTCAAAAGCACTATATTTTCTACTTAAGTTTTCTACTGAGCACGAAAGTAATCGCGAAATTGGAAATTTATGCATTTTGAAGCTTGAAACATGCATTAAGTTGCGAGAACTTTTTTTTTAATTTTTCACAAATTTCACCAATCTATCCCCGAAAAACGGAAGAATTTTTGCATTATGCGAAAAATGTTTACATTTTTAGCTTGAAACATGCATTCATTGGCGAGAACTTTTTTTTTCAATTTTACACAAATTTCACCAACTTATCCCCGAAAATCGAAATAATTTTTGCATTATGCGAAAAATTATGCATTTCTAGCTTGATATATACATTAATCTGCGAGAGCTTATTTTTTTTTATATTTTTCACAAATTTCACGAGCCCATCCCCGAAAAACGAAAGCGTAATCCAGGGTGCCGCCTACCTTCATACTACGGACTAGATTTGAGCGACTGTCGGGACGGCGCAAGTCGTCACACAAAACAAACACAATTGTAACACTGCGAATGAGTCGGAAGATGGGGGAGAAGATGCTTTTATACAAGATTAAGATTGCATACACACCAGCACAGCCTCTCACGCACTCACACAGAGGCGGCCCGACTGGAGCATCCTCCGGGCCACCCCTTCCACGCCGGAGTTCACTACACCGCACGAACCCGGTGAGCTCACTCTTTCATCTTCAATTTTCAAGGACGCCTTTTCGCGCCATCCACAGTCCGCCGCGCCGCCCGCGGAGTTGCCGAGCGAAATTTTGAATTTTTTTAAAAAAAAAAATTCGAGCCATACCCAGATGCGGGAGCAATGAAAAAAAAATCTCGGTGTACTTACTAAGAAAAGGGTAAAATTACCAAGAATTCAGGGTTCTATTTGATCCCAATTTTTTCTTGGTAAAATTACCAATTCCATAAATGGTAATTTTACCAAGAAAGAAAGAAAGAAAAATTTTACCAAGAGTAATTTTACCAAGAAAGAAATCTTGGTAAAATGATTGACTTTCTCGGTAATTTTACTGGACCCCGGTAAAAACGCCAATTTTTTTTATCGACTGTGGTAGAATTACCGAGATAAAATGGCAAAGTTACCGGGAATTGATTACCAATAAAAGTGGTATTCTTACCTGAAAAAAAAAAAAAAACAGTAAAAATACCGGTTTTTAGGTAAGCTTACCAGTCTTTCTTGGTAAAATTACCAATAATTGGTAAAAAAAGTGAGATGATAAAGGTACCAACGGACCTTGGTAAAAACGCCGATAATTTTTTTTCAGTGAGGGGGAGCGTAGGAGGCGTACGTCCCCCCCCCACCGTTCGCCCCCTTAATTGGAGGAAGATAAAGGAAACACATTTTAAAAAAAGGAATGGAGGAAAGAAAAGCAATGGACGCTTAGATTTGGTAATTGCTCATAACGAAATTGACTCAAACTGTATATTAGATGCTTTAAAATTTTGAAAATTCTCTGAAAAGAGCCTCTCGGACCCCCTTACATCCCTCTTGTTTGAAGTGTCTGGATTTGCCTATGTTTCGAGCTTGATGAATGGGAACCCCTTGGATAGAGTACCTGTATAAAGGAAGAGTGTGGATATGTCCGTAATTTAGGAGCTTAGGTTCGAACAGGCCATAGAGCTCTTACGGCTCCAAGGCGCGGCAACTGATGAACTTAAAGTATCCAGAATTATCACACTCTTATAATATAAAATTACATAAAAGTAAACGCGTAATGCCTGTGGCGCAGGCCTCCCGTTTACCGGATAATTATTCGAAATAGGGAGATTTCTCCCTTCTGGGATATTCTATCGGAAGATTTGCAAATCGAGAATTTTTCCGGAAGATTTGCGAATCGGGAATTTTTTCGGAAGATTTGCAAACGAGAATGTTTCCGAAAGATTTACAAATCGAGAATTTTTCCGGAAGATTTTGAAGAATATGCCGGAAGATTGCGGAAATTTTCCCGGGTGATTTTGTTTTGACGCGCAGGAGTCTTGCTGTGGCGTGAAGCTTTGTCTCTGGTGAAGCTCTTCGAAGGGGTGGGACCGTAAAGCGGTCAAATGCCGCACCCCCACTTTATTATAAGAATCGTCGTTCCAACAATGATGAAAGTTAGTATTCGATTTTGTTTCTTGCATAAATATCCTCTGTTTCGCGGGAAAACGCTCTTTATTTACATTCTTGGCCATTTTGGTTTGGCACTGGAATTTGATGATTTTCAGCGGTTGTTATCGTGTGGGAAGTTTGGTTAGCTTTTTAAGCCCTAAGAACTCCGTGTTTTGACGTGTCCATACTCTTCCCATGCAGGTATTCTAAGCGTGGGTATGGCTTCATGTGTAGACTTGCCCGTTCCTGGATATGAAGGGAAAGTTTACAGGCTTTTCCGGCTGCATTTTACTTTTTTGGGAAACTTTGACAGGAAAATACACACGTACATGTGTACAAGGTGGTCACACAAACTTCGAGGAGCCACCCGGAATGTTCCTGGGAGCTTTTGCCGTTCCTCGTTTTACTCGGGAAACTTAAGTAAATACACACACCCTGGAAAAAAACCACATTGGATCTAGAGTCCAGACTCTTAAAAACATTTACAAGAAAAAGTACTTTTGATTCAATCAGAATCTAGCTAAAATCAAAAACCAAGCCTCTTAATTTAAGCGGATTTCGTTTTGATTCTAGCAAAAATCCGATTGAATCAAGAGTATTTTTTCTTGTCAATGTTTTCAAGAGTCTGAACTCTAGATCCAATGTGTTTTTTTTTCCAGTGTGCACCATAAATTGTCGCTCCTCTGACTAATAAGAACGTGTCTTCATTTTCAAGTGAGCCCGGGAAAGCATAAAGTTATACGGAGAACAGGGCTCACGAGGATATTGAGATACGCCCTTACACCAGAGCTACGACGATGTATGAACAAGTACATGGTAATCAGTCACGCTTTGAAGGAGCATCGGGAATTTTCCGGGGACTTTCCTATTCCCATTCTTGGTACTTTATACTTTCTCGGAAAACTATGATCTCTGCTTATGGACTAAGGAGATACGTAGCACTTCGGATTGTACCTATATACAAGAGAGTATTGCCATCTCTGTACCGCTCTCTGATTGGTTCATCGGTTGTAGGCTATCATGGAGCTCCGAAGTTGGCTCAATGTAAACAAACCCGACCCAGAGGAACTTGCATTATCGGCTGAGAAATGAATGATACTCACACTCGAAGATAATTTTCGGCAAAAATATTCATCAAAGTTCGGTCTGAACACTTCAGAAGTTGGATACAAAAAAATTCTCATCACATCCAAAGTCATGTATGAAACTTTTTAGAACTTTGACGCAATCATTTTTGTTTACATTGGACCAAACTAGAAGCGGAGGGGCTGGGGTTTGTTTACATTGGGCCAACTTTGGGGCTCCATGATAGCCGACCAATCAGAGAGCGGCAAACTTTTTCTGTAGTAAAAGGATTGAGTTAACAATACTCTCCCGTAAACAGGTACTCTAGATAGAAAAAATGTGGATATAAGTGGTGGATATAAGAAAATTTGGCAACGTCTGAAGGCTCATACGGCGTTCTTCCTCGACGAGAATGCATTAAAAATGTTTCCAAGTTTAATACAGGAGCTCTACACTGGTAAAAAAAACTCTTGGTTCAAGAGTGCAGTTTCTTGTCGCCGGATTTAAGAGTCTGGACTCTTGTTTCAATGCAAAATCCGCTTGAAACAAGAGTTAAAGACTCTTAAATCCGGCGACAAGAAACTACACTCTTAAGTCAATGCAATGTGGCATTGGTCCAAGAGGTTTTTTTTACCTGTGTATTTTATCTAATGGTGCATGAAATATTCCGGCGCGGCAACAATGTGCGGCTGATTGAGCTGTTCTAATGAGATAAGTCGGTGACTAGGCCGGGGTCCCACCATCCGGCCGGGGCCCAAAGTTCCGAGCCGTGGTTAAGTATGCAAAATGAGACCTAATGATATAATAACCCGGCTCCCGCCCTAAAAGGGCCTGCGCGAGCATTCACGCGTCTTTGCTCGCTAGGAGGAGCCACTGAGCCGAGCTCCGTGGAGGTGTTAATTTCCCAGGCATCGCCCTCCACTCGAGTCCAAGCCTCAGATTAGCGAACGCGGTTTGGGTTCACACAAGAAACCAGAAAAATGGTGGGCGGAATGGACCACTAAACAGAGCGAGAGTTGGAACTGTGTGAGACATGGTCCCCGTCAAATATTTAGTTAGTTTGTAACACAAATACACTGAATAGCCCTAATAAATTACCTCAAAAACACAAGAACACTGGATAAAAACACATTGGATCTAGAATCTAGATTTTTAAAAACATCGACTAGAAAAAATACTCTTGATTCAATCAGATTAAATCAAGAACCAAGCCTCTTAATTTGAGCAGATTTCTTTTTGATTTAAGCTTAAATCTGATTGAATCAAGAGTATTTTTACTTGTCAATGTTTTTAAGAGTCTGGACTCTAAATCTGATGTGTTTTTTTTTTCCAGTGAACAACAGATAACTACGGCCAATAAACAACGACACTAAAAGCTGAAATAAACACTGAATTATCAAGACTAACTCTCACAAAATTTCCACCGAGAATGTTTTCTGCTGGAAAAATAAAATATGAGAGGAAATAGGCAACACATGATGAAGTTAGTCTCATGGAAATTCGTCGATTGCTGTTAAGACTTCTTGCTCAGTGTTGAATAGAAAATCATCAAAATTTGTTTTCTGAATGGAGAAAAGTTTTATAAGTCTAAACATTAACTTGATTTCAATGTTGCTTTTAAAAAGATATTCAATGATTTCTTACCACTCATTCCACTCCATATAAGATTTCAATCATAAGTTCATCATTAATATTCATGTAACTTATGTTTATGTGGAAACGTCTTATTCGCCCATTTGCGGTCAATCGCCGAAAATTTGCAATGTTTCTTTCACAACTATTTGGCAATAAGTCAAGGTCTTGTGAACACGTGTGTCAAAACATGTGAAATCTGTAAATTAAAAGTACTAATGATTTGGACGCTTAGTATATATGGTGCAATAAAAAAATACACTATTTCCTAAACTAAAGTGCTACTCATAATGTCGATCATTTAATTTCTAAATGAAGGACCACTTCAATACAAAAACATTTTTGGTGAGCGAAGCTAATTTCACTGTAGTATTTTTTCAACTCCTTGTTCCTGCAGTGGGAGGACAATTGCCTGTGGACACGCATACAGCCATAAATTGCTCCCACTGGGCTTTATACACAAGTGCTGGACATCACAAGATGCGCGATACCCACTTATGGAAAAACCACGTAACTGTATAATTTTTTGCATTACAGATATGTGTTTTATGACTGATTGTGAGCTCGGCAGCACGGTAGCTTGAGGTTGGTTACTAACCGTATGACCTGCAATGCAAAACAGCTGTTCATCCGACTCCCTTATAACGAGCGCTTTTTATTATCTTGTCTCTGAGCCTCTTCATCTGGAAAGCAAGGTACATTTGACTGTGTGCGTTCATTTGAAAGTCGACATTCTAGGGATCTGAAAAAAATCGAAGATT